AGATGGCCTTACATTTTTCTCAAGCACTCTTTGGTTTTTGCCAAACATGGCTTCTGATCTTGTGGCCAAACAGCTCTATCTCTGACTCGTCTGTCCAAAGCACATTGTTCCAGAAGTCCCAGTTTAGTCTTATTTATCAATAAACTTTAGTTTTGCCCTGATGTTCTTTTTAGACAGCAAAAGCTTCCTCCTAGCACACCTTCAATGTAGGTCAAATTTGTGCAGTCTCTGTATAAAGTTAGATGCATGCACTTTAACACAAACAGTGGAATGACACATTTGAAATAGTGATATTGAGGTTAGAGAAAGAAAGGAGAGGCAACATGAAAAAACATAAGCACAGAGCTAGTGGGTTCTGAGCTGGATGAACGTGAGGATTGTTAATTGTGGAGATGCGGGCTGGTCAGGCAATGTGGTCACCAACAGCTGTTAACACTGGACACAGCTGGTTACAACAGCGCTAATCTTCATTGTGTGCTTTGAGTTTGGGCTAATGTAGTGTGGCTCCCTCTAGCGCCCACAGAGCTGTCTACACCACAAAGTCCTAACTTTTCACCAGATAAAAACAATGAAACAAAAGCACTTCCCAAAATAAATTTTGGTAACCGTGACGTAATTTAACTAGTGAAGTCAATTTAAAAAGTGTATTTAGATTTCTAGATTCTACCTATTGATCGCATCAAAGGACAAACAAAGGAAAAGACTGTACAGGTTGTATCTGCAGGATCGTTTATTTTGTCAAGAAAAATTAATTGCTTAGAAGGAAATGAATCTTTTCATCAATACATGTAGAAAATCTGAGTTCCACATGCTGCGTCATGTACCTTTGAAATGAAATATAGGCCAGACAGTTTCAGCTCGTTTGGGCCCACATGAGTCCATAAGAATCCAAACTATGGTGACACTTGAGGCTCTATTGATCCTTTCACCAGACCAGCACACTTGACGAGGTCATTAGAAATACTTTTCACATAAAATCTACTGGAGTATTGTTCATCAACATCTTCAATTAATGAGTGCCAGTGAGCAAACACAGGCTTTCATAAATCAGTACAACTGGTAAGTAGTCATTTTTGAGGCTGATGATGTTTATCTAATATTTGTGTCAGTCAAAATACTTTCTACAGTAAAACTAAAGTCTGGATATAAAATTGTTCACTATTGACATGAAGTACTACCTGTCTTTTTCATGGTGACAAGCTCTTTAGAGTTGAAGTTCATAAGGCTCCTAGAGGAGATTGATTCAACAAGGAAGTCTGAGCATCAGTGAATAAAGACAAACATTCATGATTTAGACAAATTTGAACCCGTCTCTTTGGTCAGCCGATGGAAAGTACCTGGTTATTCGTTTTGACATCTTTGACTTTTTGCAGAGCACTCCTTCTGGGAATCATTACCCCCATCCACCAGCCTGCATTTCCTGTGGTAGTAAGCTGGTTGATTATCCTCGCAGCTGCCAGTGATCTGTCTCCTATCTGGTTTCTTTATTTAGGTCTTCTGATGATGATCACTCAGGTTCTTTTTAGGATGGCACTCTCCATGCTGGTAATTGTCCCAGCGCTGTCTGTGAGCTTAACAGTTCAGTGTCCTGAATTCTACCTGGTTTGAAGATGAATTGGACATGAGATAGAGGCTGTCACTTTGTTTTTGTCATCGCATGGAGCTCTGCGTTTATCCCTAAAGGCTACAGAGGTGGTGTCAGGTCTGGTCAGTGTGTTAGTTGAAGACTGACCTCAAGTGTTCTTCAGCTGAGTTTGGTCTTCACTATGTCTTTGCTTTGATGACCCACAGATCATTAAGGTAAAAATGATTCTTTATAGTACTTCACAATAGTAAACTAGGTATTAGTGATTTTTTAACAACATTATTAACACTGTTAGTATTTCTTATATATTGTTCTTCTTATTGTTATTTAGAGATATTGACATTAAGCAAACACTGGAATATCTTGTCTGGTTGGAAAATGCAGGTTTGTATGCAGCTTTTTTGACATTTAAAGTTAGATTTTTTTTCCCATAGGATTGAATGGTGTAACATTGCGGGCATAAGTAAGGCTATAAAACAGATCGTTCCAGTCCTAAAATCTGTTTGGCTGAGCCGCATTCAAAGTCATTGTAAAATTCACAATATACGTGACCTATGACTGCCTCACAACAACTGAATTGTGTATTACTACGCCGAGTATTTTGTATCTACTGCTTGCTGTCCCTGTAGGCTACTATAATTTAAATAACTTTAATAAATGTAACATTTTATTCTGATTTAAAAAAATAGTTTAATGAAACCTTTTTTTTTAAAATCAGAATATTCGATTGCTATTCACATAAAATTTCAGAATAGCAAAAATGTTTACAATGCCCGTCTCTAGCCACTACGTCATTTTAACAACACGCTTCATAATAGCAAAGACAGGCTAAAGGAAGTTCCTCTGACCCTCTTATGCTGACTGTTGCTGCCCAGTTATATTCTGTTTAGTCAAGTTTTGTTATGTTTAAGAGACAGATTATAGCGGTATTGATAGTTTTGGTTTTACATTAATGAATTAGAAAATATACACCTGATTCATTTGATTTACATGGCTGAACAATAAAGGGTAGAACAGAGTAGTATATATGAGTTAACAAGTAAGACACGTCCTGTTTCTACTTCAGCAGGTGGCGCTGCAGCCATAAAATTATCTTCATTGTGATTTTATTGACACTTTAAAAAGCACTGTCTATTGAACTTTAACACATCACCCTCCTTACCGAGTCTCAGGATTATTCCCAGTATTTTCACTGGTTAATATTTGTCTGAGAGTGTTTGTATTTACTGCCTGTTGTTTCTCTGTAGGCTACTGTCAGTTTCATGAATTATTGGGAAACCCTAGGCTATTTAATTTCTATTGTACTCATGTGGGGAACGGATATATGACAAAGAGGTGGACTTTGGCTTTGGCTTAGAGATGTTTGCCACTCTAGAAAATTTCACAGAAACGCTACTCCATCACGAGTTAAAATGCAGTGACGCACCCGCCTGTCTGGGCACGGCATCAAACCAAAATCTTATCGCTTCAGTTACGGCGCTACTTTCTTTTAATAACGAAACCAAGGGAGCTGAACTTGGGTGTAGGTAAATGACATTTCTCCATTTTACAGCTGGTTTTCCAATCACTTAGCCACTTAGTAGTAAAAGTAGGAATAACTGTTTTAGGTAACTGAATACTTGCATACTGACTATTTGCATTTTGCACATTTTATTTCCTTAACAATATCTGACTTCTTGCATTTTTGCACATTTTACTTATTTAACAATATTGGCTGCTATAATACTGTATCAACCAAATACTGTATTCCTTTATTGTTCTGCATATGACACAAGAGGTGTTAAAATGGGTAACAGAAGTAAGTGGCCTAAAGGATAAGGCATCAGCCTCCGGAGCTGGGGATTATGGGTTCAAGTCCCACCTGGGTTGTTGTTTACACAGCTTCAACTAGGGTTTCTCGGATCAGGCATGTGGTCATCAAGTCAGTTTCCTAGAACCAGATTAAGAAATGAAAATGAATTTCTAATCATAACTCATGTCTATGATGCTCTCAAGGGATGCCACTCTGCCATCTAGCAACATATGTCATGTTAGACTGTGAGTTTAAGATTTTAATTTAAATAATGAATATCATGTTGCTGTGTGTGAAGGGTCTGTCTGAAAACAGTTATCAAGTTTGAGATGAATTATGAACAAGAGGGAGATAAAAAGATGTCAGTTCTGTCTGTGTAGTGTTGATGGAAGCTAATTAGGGAGGTCCTTTGAGATCTTTCTGTGAGTCATGGGTGTGCAAATGTGTCAGTATCTGTGAAGATTACCAGGCCTTTTTTTAATCACAATATGTAATTATTATTTACATTAAATACAGAATAGCAAGAATGTTTAAAATGCCCAGCCACTACATCATTTTAACAACATGCTTAATAGTAGCAAAAAGACTTCATTCAAACAGTTAGCATTCATGATGGTTGTTGTTTTGTAGGCTGTTGTTTTTGTGCTTTGTGCTTCTCCAGGTGCCAAGATGCCAAAAGTGTGTTCATGCTGAAGTTTTTCTGACCCTGTTATGTTTACTGTTGCTCCCCAGTTGTCTTCTGTTTAGTCAATGAAGTCTTGTTGTGTTTAAGAGACCAATCATAGCGGTATTGATAGTTTTGATTTTACATTAATGAATAAGAAATCATACACCTGATTCACTGATTTACATGTAAATTTCATCAAAAATATTAAAACCTTTACTGTCATTGAAGCTTCTTTAGTGTGTCTGTTGAGAGACAACAGCAACACAGTCCAGAGGCAAATCTAGAATCAACTCTAAACTGTTCCCTTCTACATAAACTAATGATACAGTGATCTACAGCTGGCCAGTAAACAACTGAGTAGCCAATTTTCCCCAAAATAGGCTGTAATCCTCTAATTCCTACATCCAACTAGCTGGAGTCCAGAACCGAAAACTGTGATAAAACAAAGACTGCACATTGAAATGTCCTATGAAGCCAAGAAGGCTGATATATGCATATTTCCTGTTTCATTATCAAAGAAAGTCCCCAAAGAACTAATATTATCTTTACCAGATCAACTCACTGGGTTTCATAATAAAGTGTTTCATGAAACACCTTCAGAATTAAAAATTACTGAATTAGAACCACAGAAACAGCACTTAGAGTTGAAGCTCTGGCTGTAACTCCTGTATTTAAAACTTTTCAGTACTAGTTACAAAAGTCAGACAAAGATCACAGGGCTTACTCTTGGTTACACAGGACTTTTAATGGAATTAGGGTATTTTCATCAGACAATAATGCCTATTTTTAAACAGTGCAGAGTAGAGCAGAGTAGGATGTATGTGTTCACGAGTGTAGAAAGAAAGACGAGTCATATTTCTAGCTCAGCAGGTGGCGCTGCAGCCCTAAATTTATCTTCATTGTGATTTCGTTGGCACTTTCACTGCACTGTCCATTGTGCTTTAAAGCATGTCTTCCTCTTTAATATGTGTCATAACCATGGGATGGGTCGTTCCCGGCGCCAGTTAACGGCGCTACTTTATTTTAAAAACGAATCCCAGAGAGCTGAACCGGTGTGTAAAGGTAAAGGACATTACTTTATGTTTACAGCTGGCTTTCCAATCACTTAGTAGTAAACGTTTCGTGGCTGAATGTTTTAGTGAGGGGCGATTAAGAGCTGTGGAGTCGTTGTTGGCTGGTGTGTTAGACTGAGTAACTTTGTGGTTATGTAGCTACATGTTGTGATGATGTGCTCCATGTTTCAAGATCAGTATCAAGGCATCAAGCAGTATCAAGCAAGGGTCGCATCTAGAGGGCCAGAGTGTGATCACTGTAAAAATGATGCAGCTATTACACTTTAAAGAGTAAATAACCTGATTAACTTGACATTTTGAGTTGATTGTTGATTAAAGTTGTAATATTAAGTTAACAGAAGAATAAAAACGTAAATTGGTGAAGTTCAATGAACTCAACAGTTGAAGTTAATCCAGTTACTTACTTTTTTAATCCGAAAGCTACATAATTTGTTACAGTGTACAATGACATTGGACATCTTTTTACAAATCATATAATCATATATTTTTGTTGTACTTTGATAAATAATAGGTTTTGGGGATTCTTGCGCCAAGTTGGGGTGCATTTATTTCTGAGAGTGCACCTATACACTCTCAGAAATAAAAGTATGAAACTGTCACTGGGGCAGTACTCCTCTTGTCACTGGGGTGGCACCCTTAAGGGTACATCTCAGTACCTTTAGTGAGGGAACGTAATTGTACCATAATCCATTTAAATAACCTTTTTCTAAGCTCCACGCACCCCGTCTGATCTCCAGCCTTTTTATTTTATTGTTCTGTTTTAAAACATTCAATTATAAAAAGGTACAAATGCATACTTTTCACCTGGAAAAAACTTTAGGTAAAAAAAACTTTAGGGTACACAGCTGGACCTTCAAACCACTGTTGTACCTTTAACAGCACATTTACATTGTTTGTACCATCTACTTGAATCAAATTGAGCTTCAGGTTGACCCTGCTGAATGGAGCGTTTTTCTTGCGCTTTGCTACTATTTTATTAAAATAAAGATTTGACATTTTTCCAAAAAGTTTGAAGACACGTTTTTCCTTACAACTGACAGCCAGCAAAAGTAAGGTATGTAATCTGTTTTCTTCTTTTTTTATACTTTGTTTTTATGGAATTCCATCTTCTTATCTAGTTTTCAAATGAATTTCCTAACTAGTTCTGGTCTGGGTGTTTGGTAAATAGATAAATTCTTCAAAATTTAGAATACTCCCTTCCATATTTTGAAAATTACACACTAGTAATTTTCTTAAAATTACACACTAGTAATTCGGCTTAACTTTGACAGTAGTTTAATGATGCGCCCCAAGTTAACTTGATTAATATGTCTACTAAATATCATTATATTAAGTATTGTACAGAATTATGCTGACATATATGGCCAAGAATTTCCAAGAATATATGTCCCTTTCCCTATAAGAATATTAAAAATGTTACAGAGGAACAAGCAGCTGACCAGAGAGTCCTGACACAAGTTTGATCCCAAGACAAGGATTTAGATTACTGCAGTGTCCTGTTGAACATTTGGAGATCTCTTAACCATTTTTACTGTTCTTATCTGCTTATTGTCCCACGATTCAAATTAGTTTCCATTTGCAGCAGATTCTTTAGTGTTGTTTCTCCTGAATAATGGAACTCTCTTCCAAAAATCTTAGTGATATCTCTTCATTCCTGACCTTCATATCCTACCTCCTTCTTCTTCCCTTGTATGTATGTTTGTGTGTTTTGACAACCATTGATTTGTGTGTTTCAGTAAATACAGTGCTCTTGTAAAGTGACCTTGGGTCTTAGAAGGCACTACATGCATCAAACTTATCATTATTTTAAAAATTAAAAAAAAATATATATGTTTAGTCATTAAATCTGAATGTGTCATTTTTCATTCTACTATTTTGTGAGGATCCTTTAAATATTGAAAAATATTTGGATTTTAGATTGCTAAACTGAAAAATGAACTGACCTCTCCTTTTGCCTGCCTTACATTCTGTTTCTTTCATTTCTCTTAACAAGGCGACCAAGGAATGCATAGTAACATAAATGGAAAGGACGCCAAAAAGGCTGTTTCTCAGTGTTTCAGTAGTGCTTGGCATTACGGAGCTCACTGTGTTCACTACAGAAATTCCACACGCTGTAATGACAGTCTTGAGAAGACTGACAGCTCAGAGTCTATCAAACAGCAGTTACTGAAATGAAGAATGTAGCGTGAGAATGAGTTTTGAGATGTTTTGTGTTTGTTTTACGTGTTAGAACTTTGGTTTCTGTCTTTTTTGGGAAGTGTTGACGATGAACTGCATTTTGTATTTTTTTATGCTTGTGTCAGTGACTGGTCACATGTTCCATGAGTTTTAATATTAGAATGAGTGGGATTTACAAAACAATGTTTTACATATGATTTTAATTTAAAGGCTGAGTTTGTGACAGCCTTTCCTTTTGAAGGAGTATGCAAATAAAATCAGTGTAGTACAGTGTTTCTAGAAAAGTTATGAAGAATACTTCAGTCCTTCTGTAGCTAAAAAAAACACAAATAGTTAAAAATGTAAAAAAAAAAAAAATTGTTTGCTTTTGTTTAAAAATGTCATATGATTTTGCTTCTTTAAGGTGAAATGTAATGTCTGCATAACCTGTAAAATTAAACTGTTTAGTGGATGTAGTTTATTACAAATGACATCATAACATTTTAATAAAACAGTAAAATTCCTATCACAAGTGTTTTGTTGTGTTTTATTATATATACTGTATATTCAAAGCTAACAAGTTTTTTTAAATCTCCAAAGTGATCTTATTCTGTTCTAAGGTAACTTGCTTTATTAATAGGGCAAATTGAAAATGTTAACTCATCATTACAGGCTTAGCAACAGATCTTTAGAGCAGAAATGATATGAATTGTTGTTGTAAGGATGGATTTCTCTATATTGTCACTCCACTCTTTTACTACGGTTTGCGCTGGTGGGGAAGAGATTGGAATGCTGAAAAAGTGTACCAAAAGGGAAGAACAGACAGTCCTTCAGGAAATATGTACTTGGATGACAAATAACAATGATATAAAATGAAATGTTTACTATATGTTTGTCTACTTGTATGTTTGTTGCACTGTCGTGTGGTGCTAGGGGTGAGGTTCTTCTGTAGTTGTATGTTTGTTAAAAGGGGGAAGTACTTTACTGCTAACCTGTATTTGTCAGACAAACAAAAAAAACAAGGAAAGTATGTCGCAGTGAGTCATTAATCTGATATTATTGTTGTCATCTAGTTGGTTCCTGGCGACAAAACAAATAGTGTTTCTCCAAAATATTCTGTCTTCTGTTTGGGTCTTTAGGTTTCTTAATGGCTTGTTTATGATACCTCTGATTGTCTCTAGCCATCTTGTTGCTGGCCATGTTTTTTTCTCTTTTTTCCTTCGGATGTTCCAAGTTGTCTCTTACAATGAAAGAGTCATAGGTAAAATAACCGTCTCCCCAATCTGTGCTGCATTTCCTGAAACCGTTGTTGAACAACTACCACAGTTTAATGACTGATACTAGAGATACTATTGTTTTGAACCCTCTGTCTCTATGGTTACCATGGTGGTTGCTCAATGATGCTTTCAGGAAATGCAGTCATGCTCAGTACACTGGTGAGTGCAGGCAGGTCCTGAGGTACCACAGTAGTCACAAGTTCATCTTTGGACCAGCCTACGGAGGACTAACTGTCTATGATAGAGGATCACTGGTTATTGGGGTTTATGAAATGCTCAAGAGCAAAAAAATTAAATTAACTGAAAACCAATGAATGTGCCAAGTCCACAAGCCATTGCAACAGTTGTTGACTTCCTCTCTGAGCCAAACATCATGTCTAACTCACTCCCTAAACAAGGGCCAGCACAATGGACTGTTTTTTGCCATATTTGTCTAGAACTAAAACCCGAGCGCAGGGATGGTGCTAGGGTTAGGGGACATCCAGGGCAAGGCCCAGGAGTCAATTTTTTATTTATTTATTTTTGTAATTTATTCATTTTTTTCTGATTTTTAGTTTCTTCAACTCTTTCAGCAGTTTCTCCAACTATGTCCAAAATACAGAGAGTGACAGAATCAAACGGCACTTTTGCAACTTTGAGGTCTTACGAGGTTAGTGATTTTTCTCCTCTACCATCCCTATCTTCGACAGGGGATAGTGTTTCTGTTTAGGCAGTGCGTCTTGAGACTTACCAGAGTCTCTGACTCAAGCTGCCGAATAGTAAACGTAGTGCCAGAAAATGATTAACAGCGAGCGGGAGAGGCGTCCAAATGGTAGAACATTCCCTAAAATCGTGACAGCTAGCTTCTAATTTTATCGAAGATCCATATTCGATAAAACCCGAGCCCTGATTTCTTAGATGTACTGAATTTCAAATGAATAAAGTAGATTTCTTTAGATATTGTCTAAGTTTCATTCATTTTGACATCAAGCTATGAAAAACATACTTCTATTAGGCCATTAGGGTACCATTTCTTTCTACACAGGTGCACTTGTGGGCGCTGTACAAATCTCTCACTTGTTGAGAACATTTGCAATAGGGAGGTGGCTGAGGTATGTATAAAGCTAATGCAGAAAAAAAGCTAACCTAACATTTGTAGCCTAAGCTAGTTAGCTGACGCTAGCCATTTTCTAGCATTGCCAGCATCATGACATCTTTTAGCATGCTGCCTGTTTGATTCCAAGCACAGACGTATAACAGGGAGACTGAATGGTACCAAACAGATTATTCACAGATGTGAACAGGTTGGGGTCGCAGACTGCATCACCTGTCATCCAGCGTTTGCTGTATTGGCCCTAAATCCTTATGTTCCCCTTCATAAATCAAACCCTTGGGTGCACACTCACTGAATAGAAATCAACAGCAAGCAACACTGGGACTACAGAAAGCAAAGAAAGAAATGTATTTCCTTTAGAGTATGGTATCGTTGTCAAGAAACCATGGACTGCTGAATGAGGAGAATGTTCGGTCGCCCTTCACAGTATATTGCGGTCATTTCATAAATTAACTAACTTTTTCTCATATAACAATGAGCATACGATAACATGGCGCTGTTTAATGCAAAAACTTTCTCTTTAAAAGTACTTTTTGGTCACCAAATTACCATCACAAGTCTTATTTAGCACTACTACAGCGGCGCCCCTCTTCTCGTGCTGGGGCTGAATCTCAAATGGCTCCCTGCCCCCTACATTGTGCATTATGTAGGAATTTAAATACTGTATCCTGCACACCAACGGTGCAAAATATAGCTATTAAATAGCCATTTGGGACTCAGCCACATCCACACTCGATAAATGATGCACTATTTGGCTGCAGAGGCTAGAATTTCTATGCTTTCATTGCCAACACACTATTTAGGGAGCCTTTTGGGATTCAGCCTAGGGTTGACGCTACTTCTGACTGAAACAGGAACATTTGACACGTGTAATCTATTCAAGTGACGTTTTTAGATTTTTATACTGCCATTTTACAGTCAATCACACTGTAAGTACTGTAATTCAAGCCTGTGATATTAATGATGGGGTTGTTTAGGCTGTTGGCTATCTTTTTAGCCTGTTAGTTCGCTGACCAGCCTAGTTCTATTCAAGAAGATAGCTAAGTTGCCAACCCCTCAGTTTAAACAAAAAATGGGCTCTTATTCATCAATGTACTCGGTGGTCCATGCAAAGGTTATTTCGTTAACAGCACAATTTTTTTTCATGCCGTCGCATAGTAATATTCAATTCAGCTCATTAGGCAGTCATAGATGTGTGTATATTGTGGATTTTACAACGGCTTTGAACGAGGCTCAGCCTATCAGATTTTAGGACAGGAACCATCCGTTTTATAAAATATCTCAACCAGTGGTGACTACTTTCACAACAAACCTGCATCACCATAAAGAGCTTTGTGAAGTTGATGAGTCACTTGGTCTTCCATCCATCCATTTTCCAGCCTTCTAGAGAATATTCATTTGAAAAATCACAACATTTTAAAGAATAGTTCTAGCGATTACCCCAGAGTACATTTGTGCTGCTTTCCAGCTTAGTTTTTTATGCACTACACTGCATGCCATGCATCCACATCTGACATTGGTTTGGAATTGCTTCTTTTGGCAAGAAGCCAAGTTTACTGCGAAACTAATAAATGTCTTTACTCTGTCAAAATGCCAAATTGATGATTTGATGAACTGGCTTGTTTGAAACATAGCCTCTTATGACAGTAAATTCGTTTACATGCACTTAATAATCTGATAGCTGCAGAAAATCAGATTTTGTCGGTAATCTGATCAATGTGTTTACATGCACTTCAGTAATCAGATAATGTGAAAACTCTGGGTCTACATAAGTCAGGCAGTAATCGGATTTCTACTTTGCAACGAGCCAATAAACTCAAACTTCATGTTGCAACTTTTTATTGCACCACTTTACCTAAAATGAACATGCATCATCTAGAAGATGAAGAATATTTAAATCCTTCATTTTGTTAAGAATGTATTTGGTTTCAGCATCGCTCCATGTTTTGCTACCATCTGGCAGCAGTGCTGCTTGTTACAGCAGTCTGTTCCGCACATGCGCAGACTGAGAAATCTGAAAGAAATCTGGGTAAGAGTTTACATACACTGAGAAATCTGATTACTGAGCTAAAATGCAGCTTTCTTTATCGGATTTCTAAATTGGATTTCTAGAACGGAGTATGGTGTTTAAATGACCATTTGAATAATCGGATAACTGCAGAAATCTGATTAAGATCGGATTATTGAGTGCATGTAAACGCAATCAGTGCTGTGTTGAAATTCATTGAGACACCCTTACTGCCAATGTTTATCAATGGGGAATGCTTGATTTTGTGCACCTGGTAGCAATCAGCATGGCTGAACTAGCCAAGCCCGCTACTTATAAGAGGTGGGGGCCACAACATACCTTTGACCTTTGGACAGGTAATGTATCATCCCATATGCCTGAAAACATGAGTTATACTTTATGAAACCTCACTCACCGCAACAGTGGGAGCTCTGATTTAAAGGTTTACTAAAGATTTTTTTTCTTTGTTTATTTTATGACTCAAAATATCCACTCGAAATATGATTCAATGTGATTATATGGTTCAAAATATATCACACATCACAAATCTGCACAATGTATAAAATCATAACACTGTCGTAATTAATCCTGTCTCCACAGAACATTTAATTTTTTTTTACACTGGATGATGTCACATAAACAAACAATTCAGCCAGGAGATCTCGTAGTTTAAAATGATGTAAAGGTCAATATTTTAAAAACTGAGGCCCTGATTTACAAAGATACAAAAATAACGAATGCTTATTTACGTGTGCAGTGCAGTAGATTGCCCGAGCAGTTAGTGGGCATTTTGCGGGTGATTTACAAAGGATAATTGTCCAAGTAATGAAAGGTACAAAAACAGTATGATAATCAGGCTTTGCATGTGCACTGTTTTTGATAAGAAGATCGTAAGTTCAGATCTCAAAGAGGTGTTAGTTGAAATAAAAATATATAAAAGGGATATAGCCAAAAAAGTAAACAGTGTGGTAAAACGAAAAAATAAGGGGGGAAGCTATAGGATACCTTTTAACAGCTTATACACATTCTAATTTATTAAGAGTTTACTTCATTTCGCTTCATTTGGCAGTTTGATTTCATTGTTTTCTTAAGCCTGACTTTTGCTCGACTCCATCACTGTTGCTTTTTGCCATAAATCAGATTGCTTACCTGTTTATCATTCTGGGCCCTTTTTTACAGTGCTCTACAAATGATTTGAAACCTATGATGTACAGTACTAGCATCATTTTCAAAAAATTGAACCAACAAAATTATTATTGTATTATTGAAAACATTATTTATACATAAATGTGTGGCCTGGGTTAAACCTACACTCCCAACCTGAATAGTGGTCCTAGTCTGGCCCTGACCTTGGTGTTAATTTATACATCCAATCACCATCCTCAAAATGATATTTAGTAATGACACTATGAGGGCTAAGTTAATGTATTTGTATTGACACTGCCCTATATTTAGCACCCATAAAGACGCAATATTAAAAGGCCTATGGGCTTATGGATGCTTAGTTCCAATCATGTGTCCCCTACCCCAACTGAAAATGAAAAATGAATTCAGATAATTCTTTTGGTAAATGGATAAACAAATGTGACAAAGCTAAAAAAGCCTGAATTTTGTCTGAACTTTTAAGCATTTTTATAGATAACAGTATGCCATACAGTCAAACTGTTCCTCTCAGAGTTTAGTATTTTAATAATTATTTGGCCCCATTGAGTAGGTGAAGAGTGGAATGGTTGTTCCATTTAAACCTGTGCTAATTTGTTTTGGTGGTGTTGTAATGAGAGTAATTAATTAGGTTGTTTGTGAATTTAACCTTTATCTAGCAAATGTTTTATTATCTTCTTTGTTCCATAGATGTCCTTAGTTCTGCTTTTCATTTACCTGGGAGGAACCACATTACCCTTCGTTAAATGTTTCAGTGATGGCAATTTTGATGGCAATCAAGATGTGTGTCAGTCAATGGCAGTTGATCATGATGGCCTGTCCAATCAGGATCCAGCATCAAATCCTTTTACAGTTGTTCCTGATTATGTTGATGTCACAGTTTCGGGAGAAGTTGTTACTGGTGAGTCTCCTTTCAGTCTCTCTTATGAATCACATTCGCACTCTTATATTTTACCCAGCCAGAATAAGATGGATTGAATTATGATACACTCTTTTTATTCTCTCTCAATCTCAGTAAAGACCTCTTCATAAGATGTTGTGGTTCTTTGAAATCCATATTGTTTTTTTTGTTTTTTTTATTACATTGTAGGAGAAAAACTTGCACTCTTAGAAACATAGTATGCAATGGCCATATTTGTTGTTTATTGCTTTTTACAAATTTGAAGGATTCAATGAATGTGATATTTTGTTCTCATTGCTTTGCACTGTATGAGGCAACACCTCTGACTGTTACCAGAGCAACAACTTGTAGAATAACTCAAGTATAAAGTAAACCTTGCTGCTGCTAAATGTTTAGACACAAGCTTAAGCATTATAATCAGGACAAATACATTTGATACATTGGAACTTAGAATTCTTCAAAATATAATTTATTTATATATTTTTAATTCCCTTTACTGCTAAAGTATCACTCACAGCTAATTCAGGTCGATCTTTCCGTGGCTTCATGTTGGAGGCAAAAGAAACTAACGACGGTCCACCTGTGGGTGAATTCTCTGTGCTGGGCTCAGCCATCAGCAGACTCCAGAGCTGTAACGGCATTGCTGTGAGTGTCCCATAGAACTGGGTATTGTCAACCATTTGATGATATGATATGTATCATGATACAATACAATACAATGGAAAAAACACTCTGGATGTACATCAGACATTTTTGGTCAGTGTTTAGCATAAAATTAGTTTTGAAAAGTACAGTTATAAATATATTTATCTCCATCATCTAAACCGCTTATCCTTCTGGGTCGCGGTGGGGTGCTGGAGCCTATCCCAGCTGTCCTTGGGTAGAAGGCAGGATACACCCTGTACAGGTCGCCAGTCCATCGCAGGGCAGACAGACAGACAGACATACATATATGATCACACTCACACCTAGGGGCAATTCAGCATGTCCAATCAGCCTGAATGCATGTCTTTGGACCGTGGGAGGAAACTGGAGTACCCGGAGGAAACCCACGCAGACACCGGGAGAACATGCAAACTCCACACAGAAAGGACCCTGGTAGGGAATCGAGCCCAGGCCCTTTGGTCAGATTCCATTCACACTTTTCTCTAAAATGCGTCTCCAGTGTGACCAGATGAGATTCGATTGCACTTTTTATGTGTAAAAAACACGTCAGCACATGTGTTGTTTACATTTTACTTGTGTTTACTCTTTTTCCTGTTACAATACTACTGGACAACGTTGACCATCTTGAAATGCACAGTTTGGGGAAATTTCAGCTTCGGGTGTTCTCCATCTTTAGTTTCCTTGTTTCAAATCTTACCTGTTAGTCAGCGCACAGCAGTCACATTTCCGCTCACGTAATTGTATACAGATAAAAAAAAAACGCGTTCTGTTTACAATGGACTTAAATGCAATCCGTCTCTGACCAGATCAGATTGTATTCCAATAATAATGCGTCCAGGGGGTGTTTACACCTGGCTTTTCATGTGGTCAAAGAAACCCCAGAAAGTGATCAGATCACCAAAAATGCATGTTAATACTACTTGTGAACAGGCCCTTTGTAATTTAAACTGCAGTTTAAGATGTCAGTGTTGAGATCAGAGCTGAGTTCAGAGTTGAGTTAAAACTGAAATGTTGTTAATAACATATTTTAATAACATTTTAATGTTGTTAATATTGTGAAATTCAAACATTCTGACTAACACATTTAAAATACCGTCTCATTCTTGTTCACTGAAATGTTCAAGTGTTCAAGTATGTTTAAATAAGAGAATTTATTTGAAAGCAGCATGTAGACATACATAAATTCAGATTTTAATTACTTAACATATAACATCAGAATATGTACATTTGTAAACATACTAGTAGTGTGGATGGTTTATGTTAAGAAAATATGATTAAAGCCACATGGGAACATAGAACTGTTTGCGATTTCAATAATATCATTATGAAGGGGAAACACCTTTGAACAGCAATACAAACACATAACCCACATGTGAACAGCTAAGTGCCAATCACAGCAGGCTAAGCTAATAACTCACTACAACTGCAATCTAAGCCACATCTGTGAAAGTATAATAAGCTAATGAACAAACTACAAGAACTGGGCTCCATTTCTCCTGAATGCGCAACATATAGAACGGACCACTTCCTTCTCCAACACAGCCATTTGCACAAATAATAATAACTATTAGACACTATTAGAGCACATCTTTCATGTTGGATGCTGTAAAGGTTGCACGTTCAGACTTGAATGCACTATCCATTTCACTCGTGCATACACAAGCTGTGTAAAAAGCCATCACTGTATCAATATGTAAATCGCCATGTGTTCATCCACGACATATTGCCATACTGATATTTTGAACACAGCTGCAATGACCTGGGCACTTTGCTTGACATGAATTAGAAGAAAACCCCATAAATGTAAAAACTAATTTAAAAAAATGAGAAACTGACATTAACATGAATAAACAAAGTTTTTACAAATGTTGGTGACTCTGAAGAGTCAATGTGTATAATTTTTTAATTGACTAAACAAAAAATGTCTTCTTCATCTTCATATATGCTTATGCCTAATGTTTTGAAAGAAATTTGCATAAACACTGGTTATGTTTCAAATAACTGATGAAAAAGCTGCTTAAAAAAGATATCTCTTCCTTTATCCAGGGTGGAGCTGTTACACAAAACAATAACCAAGATAAGACTGCTGTAACAGTCTCATGGAGAGCTCCTAACACTGGAAAATACTTCTTCAGGTATCAAGAAACATCATGCAAAATTAGTTACTAACATTTTTTATTACTCTGCCAGGACAGTGGGTGAAAAAATATATGTGTGTTTGTTGAAAAAATGCCAGCTGTTGTTGTAATTTTGTTTATTGTGATTTACTGTCATTCATATGACTTTTCAGAGCTACATTTGTTGAGAACTTTGAGACTTTTTGGGCTAGAAAGGACATATCCCCACCTACAACAACTACAACGTCTACAACATCAACATCTTCAACACCCTTTACAACAACGTCAGCATCAGCACTCACCACTGTTACTTCTGTACCCGTCTCCATGCTTCAACCAGATCCCACTACTGTAACTGAAGTCACATCCCTGGTACCCACCTCTACAACTGATCCAGCGACATCTGTACGTTCATCAACCCAGGGCATTTCCTCTACAGATACTACTGTTGCTTCTATACATGCACTATATTCTGCCTCTACCCAGCTATCAGATCCCACAACCATAACTGAAGTCACATCTCTGGTATCCACCTCTACAACTGATCCTACAACATCTACAGGTGCATCAACACAGGGCTTTTCCTCTACAGATACCACTGTTGCCTCTACACATGCACTGCATTCTGCCTCTACCCAGCTATCACACCCCACCACTATAACTGAAGTCACATCTCTGGTACCCACCTCTACAACTCATCCTACAACATCTTTAGGCATGTCAGCAGAGGGCTTTTCCTCTACAGATACCACTGTTACTTCAACACATGCACCGCATTCTGCCTCTACCCAGCTTTCAGACCCCACTACTATAACTGAAGACACATGTCTGGTGCTCACCTCTACAGCTGATCCTACAACATCTACAGGTGCGTCAATGCAAGGCATTTCCTCAGCAGCTATCACTGTTACCTCTACATGTCTGCCTGATGCTGTCATTAATCACCTATTAGATTACATTCATCTATTTCAAATCAACATACACATATTCTACATGTTCTGTAACTCTACACATAACAGAACAGCAATACTTGCATGTGTCCCTAATCAGCAATCAAATCACACTACTCTACTAGTCACAGTATGCCTGTTAAATGCTGTAACCTACTTATTATGCCCCTATTCAGCAACCAAACAGTACTACTGTGCTTAAAATCCTATCATGTCTACTATATAACTCTACATCTTATCCCATGGTAGACCTTGCATGTCTCTCTGCTGGCCTTAATAACCAAACAAATAACTCTACTCAAAAACAGATGCCTGCTTTGCACCTCTATACGTGATCCTGCAGCAGCACCTGCACGTCTCTCTGCTTGTGCCCTTAATCAGCTACTAAACAACTCTACTCTACTAAAAGACGTCCTATGCCTGTTATATACCTATATCCTTCTTCCTACTGAAGCATGTGTCTGTCTTCCTCTACCCAAGTAACACACTACACTGCTAGAAATACACACACTAGACTTAAGCTATTTCCACAAAAAAATCTGTGATCTTACGCACATTGATGTACTACCAGTGACCCATTTAAACAAGCTGAACATTGAATTTCCCTTAATGTTTGTGCTTTTGTTGGAGTTGATGGCCTTGCAATTTTATTTGCCAAATAGCTTTAAATGCACAAGGATGTTAATCACAGGATGAAATAGTCAGAAGAAAAACTCAGCACAACTCATCAGATATGAACATTTAATAAAGTGGCTCACATAAAGATGACAAACATTAAAAAAATGTTGCAAAGTCATAAAGTACATTTCCAAAATATTCAGCTGGAGTAAAAAGCATTAAGTTAAGTATCAAGTATTAAAAAGGCTCAAAATCGCCGAACAAAAAGCATCCACATAAAGCTGATAAGGAGTTTTTAACAGCATTCTGACCACTTACACCTCTGTTCCAGCTTTTTAAGTGTGAATAAATAAACACAGTCATATGCAAATTTGTGCTCCTGGTCAAATTACACATTTTTGTTGTTTTTCTAAGTAAAAAATAAGGTAACACTTCCTCTACAGATCTGCACATTTTAATGCAAATGTTTAATGCACAGTTTATTGGCTGAATATATATATATATATATATATATATATATATATATATATATATATATATATATATATACACACACACACACACACACAACTCTCCAAAAGAAATCATATGTGTATATATATATATATATATATATATATATATATATATATATATATATATATATATATATATCCAGACAATTACATGAAAAGAAGTAAGGCATATATCTAAAGTCATTCATACAGTTGTTCCTTTTTTGTGTAAATGTTTTACAACCTCAACAATCAGCATGTCACTGCGGTTGGAACAAAACCTCATATCTCCAAAATGCTAACTTTACAGAAGAAGGAAAAACATAATTTACTGTTAATATACTATATAATATACTGATACTTTTAATAATAACCAGACATATTTCCATCATGAAATGTACACCCAACAGGCATTTTCAAATGATGTCAAAAAACAACAAAAATGGAAATACCAGGTTTTGTTCTGACAGCAGGGTGAAATACCTCTGGACATTTTCAAAGCATTTTTAAAGGTGCAGTATATATCTATAATTTACTGATTTACTGATTCATCTAATCAGCTATGTACAAGTATGCATGATCTTTGAAATATACAGTACAACTCAATGATGTATATTAATTCACTAACTTCATATATTCCCTGGGAAAAAGGTACATTTGTAGGAAGAAGTTAAAGATTGACTTGTTTAGGCTTATTTGCACAACACATTATGTATTGGATTACATGTACTACTTATATATCATAAGGTGTAGTTATGCAGTTTCCATGACCTTCGCTGCATCTCTTATTTCTTACAGTCAGTACTTCAGCCAAATCAGACCTATCTGTGGTAAGCAGATAAATCCTTTTTTTTTAATTACATGTGTGTTTGTTTGCTTTTGTTGTTTGTTTTTTATGTTTATGCATTTTGCTAAATGATTCTAATAATTTATGACGCTTGTATGCATGGTTTTGTGTTTTGTTTTGTTTTTTTTTGCAAATGCTGTGTTTTCATATTGCATATGTTTCTGCTCTGTGCATGATCAGCAAATAACGCATGCACTAAAGTCAGCAAACCTCTGCAGTGCGTAGCACAAGTATGCATTTATCCTTCCTGATGTTTGAAAACATCACAGAGTCTCCAACCAATGGACGTATTTCACTGAAACTTTGCTGAAATTACCAAAGTGCTTTCTGACGCAGGGTCAAAGGTGCATTCAGGGACAGTGTACTAATGGAAACGCTTATAAAGAGAATTAACAGAAAGAGAGACTCTGTTTCCAACTGCTGTTAAAATGTATCAACAGTAAAAGGACAGTTAAAAGCCAGCCAGGTCTGGGGCTGTGTCTCAGTGAGCTACATATTAGGAGGAGAAAAAATCTGGTCACATTATGGACAACAGAGTTTTGATACTAGCTGTGAAAGACTGAGAGGTGTTTAAATGACAACCTGATCTTTCTGTGCTGTGATTGTGGCTTTTAAATAGTATGCATGCAAAGCTCTGCCTTGCGTTCCTGCAGCCTTCTCTGTTCGTCATGCTTGTTTATGTCCAGCATGGGGTGAAATCTCAAAAAAATTTAAAATCTAAATAAGAGCTTTTTTACTGTTTTTTGTTGTTTTGTTTTATAAACATACACATAATTTAGATTTTTAGATTTTTACACTTTGTAGTAAATAATTAATGAACATAGTAATAAACGTAATACAACAAACAGTTTTGCTATATGGCAGGCTGCATACTGTTGAAAACTATTTATAGAAACAGCACTATAATTTCCCAACAATTGTAAAGATATTTTTTAAGATATTTTACACACCCACCCACACGCACGCACACATGCTTGCACGCATGCACGCTTGCATGCACACACACACATCTTTGGTATGTTAAACACAGCAAATAAATAGATCTAATAATAAAAGTGCATTCCAATATGTGTAAAATGTCATATTTAAGTTTCTTGTAGAGAACATAAATTTTACTTTAAAAAAAAAAAAACTTGTGATTTAACCAAGTATGTTGAGTAAACTTTTGCACATGACTTTGCATATGATCTTGAAATGTGATAATACATTAAGTTGTTAATCTGTATGTGTGTGTGTTATAGTGTAAGACTGGGAGTGACTGGTTTTTAATCCTGCTATTGGCCAGCTATCTGTCTCTCGTTGAGGGCTTCCCTTTCCTGATGGAACACAGAAAGCGAAGAAATGTTGTTGTGATGCAGGTAAGATGCCTGAAGGACCTGAGCAATATTTTTTGACTTTCAGTTTTAGGAACATACAGTATGAATTCAATGAATAATCTGGATGCCAGTGTTTTATCCAAACATTTAAACCCAAATGATTTGTCCCAACTAAACTGTTAAAAAGTTTCAGCATAAGATGATCCATTCAAACAAATGAAAAAGATACACATATCACAGTGCTCACATAGAGTGACAGAAATAAGCATTTTAAACACTTTAATCTTTTCACAGGTTTCTTCTGTTCTTTCTTTACTATTTTCATTAGTGGCTTTCATCATCTTGCTGATACTCACTGAACTGGTAAGAATGAATTTCAGAACTGTTAGTGTTTGGCATGAGACTACAGATTCTTTTAGTTTTTAAATGATTTGTCTCATTTCACAGCCACCTCACCACAGTACTAACAAATGCTAACAGTGTACATTAGGTGTTAGCTAAATTCCTACTTTGAAATATAGTCAAAAATGTATTGTTTTCATATCTGACTTGGGTCAAACATTTCTAGAACCACTGAGATATTTTTTGTTATTTGCAATTGAGTTGCTGGTCCTTTAAGCAGCACTGTCATCTCATGTAATGTAGTCTATTATTCTTTGATTGAAAATTCAGTGCAGTTCAACAGGTCTCTTTGTCTGTGTATGTGTAGGTTGCAGCCAAAGTTTTGACAGGACTGGCAGTGTTTCTGAGCCTGTGCCAAATAATTGTGATATTTTCGTTCCACGAACCAAGCCATCAGTTGTGAGTCATACCTTGAACTCTTTCACTACTAGTCACTACAAGTTTCAATGCACTGTAAAATTAGATACAGCAACTTTCACTGGTTTAAAGAGGGTTAAAACAGTGCAGTGGTATGACATGGAAATAATGTTTAATTTCAAGATGGTGTAACAAAAGAGGGGATGAGTTTGTTAGGGCTTTTCCTGTAATCGTGGTCATTGTTTATAGCAGATACATAGTCAACACGGGATAATTAAAAACTACAGAAACAGGCAGGTTTGTCTTACTGTTAATTTGCATGCCCATCCCTGTGCTGTCATTTTGATAGCTTTTTTAAACCAAATCCAAACTGCATGCTATCCTTCCATAGACATTCACTATTTCTCTATGTTTGCTTAGGCCTTCTGATTAAAAGGCAGATGCCAAAGAGAAGGTTAAAACCAAGTGCGCTCTGGCACTATACAGTCATGTGCAAAGGTTTTAACACCTCTGATCAAATGACATGGTTTGTTGATTTTCTAAGTGAAAAAGAACACGTCCTCTACAGGGAACAGACTGAAACATAGCATTAAATATGTGTAATATAAATTAAGCACTAAAATTTAGTGTGTGTATATATATATATATATATATATATATATATATATATATATATATATTTAACAAATAAAAAGCGTGTTACAGGCCACTTTTCATGGTTTTTCCCAATATGTTAAATGACCACGTCATATGACCAGAGGAGCCCACATTTGTGCATGTAACTATAACTGGGAGTAGCTAACCAGTATAAATCAGTAGCAACCAACTGCCCCAGAACTTTATTTCTTCACTTCACTTAAAAGTGCTGTCATTTACAAAATAAAACATCTTTAAAATAGTTGTAAATAATAATATCTTTCTAAAGATAAATTATCATTTATCTTTAATCCAAGAACCTTGACTATACAGCAAATAGAAATATTTCTTTTCACTGTTGCAATACAGTGTTTCATCTGTTTCTTCTGTGCAAAGCTGTGAATTTGTTTATTATTAAGACTTTATAGGTTGATGTTATTATAAAGACTCTTTAGGTTGATGTTAAGTATGGCAAAGTAAAACATTGTTCACTGACTTTTGTTAATCTGGGCCTGTTTTAGCCATCGGGTGTGGTCTACATGACTAATGCTCAAGCCCCAGTTCTCACCTGCTGAGATCTTTTAGCAGCCAAAAGATCATGTGTATAATAATTTCAATAATGTGTCCAGCATGTTCATACATAAAAGCATCACAAAAATGTATAACAATGCTCAGCACCTATGAGAAAGCACCTCTAGGTATATTCTGTCTTTTGTTTACACACAGGGTTTACACAGGAGTTTCTTTTGTTTATAATAATATCCGCAGAACCATTTTTTTTTCACTTCACCTATTAATCTCACTTCTAGAAAAAAGCATTCCGTTATGGTGCCTGTAAAAAGTGTTCACCTCCAACATGTTCCTATTTTATTATCATGGAACAGTGAATCACAGTGAATGCAATTTTTAAAAACAGAAACAATAGAAATAACAGACTCTTTTGTGTTAAAGTGAAAGCATCTCTGCGAAGTGATATGAATTAATTACAAATATAAGCCACAAAGTATCTGATTGCAAGTATTCACCCCCGGCAAGTCAGTATTTAGTAGATGCTTGGCAGCAATCACAGCCCAAGAGTCTGTGTGGATAGGTCCCTATCAGCTTTGCACATTCGGACACTGCAAGTTTCCACATTGTTCTTTGCAAAATTGCTCAAGCTCTGTCAGCTTGCATGGGGATCATGAGAGCCTTTTTCACGTCCAGCCACAAATTTTCTGTTGACTGACTTTGCCACTCCACAACATTAGCATTGTTGTTTTTAAGCCATTCCTGTCTTGCTTTGGCTGTATGCTTGAGGTCATTGTCATGCTAGAAGACAAAACTTCATCTAAGGCTCAGCTTTCCTTCCAGGATTTTCCTGTATTCTTCTGCATTTAATGTACCCTCTAATTTCACAAGCCTTCCAGAGCCTGCTGGAAAGAAGCATCCCCACTGCAAATCTTTCCATTTCTTATTGACTGATTTAACTTACTCCAAGGGATATTCAGTGACTTTGTTTTTGTATTCATTCCCTGACTTCTGATTTTAATCACCTTGTCACAGATTTGTTGGAGTGTTCTTTTCTCTTCTTAGTGTAGGTTATGCCACAATACTGACTCACCAGAAGTTGAACTGTCCATAAACAGGTGTACTTATACTACAATAACTTTGAACCCTCTCATTAAACTTTATGCCTGCTGGCGGGCCCTGGACATTTAAGGGGTTAAATCACTTTGCAGGGGTGTGTTTTCACTTTGACACGAAAGAGTCTGTTTCTGTTGATCTGTGTAAAAAAACACATAAAATAAATCCACTGTGAATCACTGTTCTTTGATCATAAAACAAGAAAACGTCCAAGGGGGTGAATACTTTTATATACAGTGTAGCTTGAATAATCTCCCTGGTGAAGCATTTGTGACCCAGAACTAATTGTCCAACATCAGTACCTGACCTCACTAATGCTCCTGTGACTGAATGCAACCAAATCCAATCCTAACAGCAATGCTTCAAGTATAAAACCTTCCAAAAAGAAAAGAGACTGTTACAGCAGCAAATGGGGGTGGGGGGCGTGGCAAACACCCTATTGATACACTTAATATAAGAAGAAACATTGGATGACTTTTGGGCGTTTAGTCTATATTACATTTTTATCAAATCTTTACCATTTCCATTCCAATTTTTCAGAAGGAGACACCTGTGCTGGGTCTTCGGACTGGTTGCATTTGCAAACATTTGTGTGACAAGTAAGAATACCTTATAGTTTTTAACATATTCATTTGTTTTCACCACTGCACACAGTTCCTTGGCTTGTGGACGTTCACTAAATTGTACTGCAGCCTGTAGTCTAAATAGATTAAACAAAGCAGCTCAAGCCAGGAGCAGTAATTTGGCTGTTAACTGTTACATCTCACAATCCAAAAATGATGTGTGTTTAATTTTTGTAGATTGTAAAGTCATTTTCATGATCAGTCTCATTAACCTTGCACTCTTCTTTCTCTCCTCTTTCTTTGCTCCTCTTCCTAGCGGCTGCAATATTTGTTGGGCTTGTGCAGTGGAAGGTCTGTTTATGGCTACCCATTGTGATGGCAGCATATCTGGCATGTGACAATCTATAAGCATACTGTGGTGTAAAATACTGTGATACGTGAGCAAAAGGTGAACTTCACAACACTAAAATAAGCAAAATAAATTTTGTTTAGCTTATCAACTTTCTGCTTCATTATCCTGGCATTCCAGAGATGCTGGGTTCCCTGTAGATCATTCCTCTTACTGAAAAGTTTAACTTTGCTGCTTTGCAATAATATGTGTTTGTTCTTTTTGCTTTTTTTTTCAGATTTCTTTCAGGTCTGTGTGCCTTGTCATCTCAACACTGGTGAATATAGCATTTCCAGTAGCACTTATCATTGGAATATTTTTGTGTAACTATGGTACAGTAACAACAGGGCAGAGTAGTGGAAATACATGATTGTTACCTAAGAGACTTTGATTCCATGATGATTTACTGTTTTACTTTCTTGTTTGTTTTCACTTTCATTAAGTCCTGGCTGTTTTGCATTCATTCAACTATCATTCATTTATTCACGTAAAGCCTTTTGTATACACTGCACTGCACTTTTCCACTGTTATTTCAAGAATCATGCCAATAATTTATTATTTTTTTACAAACATTATTATTATATATAATTATATTATTCATGGAGTATTTTTTTACTTTTTAAAATTACATACAAATTTATGTAAAATGATTATAGATTTTTGTAATCAAAGGTGATATATACAACATTTTAAACTTTAATATAGCAGCAAACAACTGTTCTCTATGTAAAGATATAGTGGAGTAATAGCGTCTTGAGCAGAGAATGAAGGACATAGAAATCATATGGTAATATCATTGTCTTGAAGAAGCATGCATGAGAGAAAAATACAGTGAGGCAAGTCACACTGAGACATAAAATACACTGAGACATTTGAAACTGCAAACAGCAGTACATGGAGGAAAAGGTTTGAAAGGACTGCAATGTATCCCAGCATGTAATCAGTGGAAATCAAGGAAATAGTCCATCACAGAGCTAACACATGCACACACATTGAACCTATGGGCAAATTAAGAGTCCTCAATTCATCGAATGTGCATGTCTTTGTACTATGAAAATCAGAGGCCCTGATAGACTGGTAGACCTACACAGCCCACTGTAGTCGTGCGTCATTCTGTGGTCTGCAATATTCACATATTTGGAGCTCCGAGTCTAAGCTCGATTTCACTATGGCTAGAATGAATGGGGTTTACAAAAATCGCCACTGTGGCACACTGTGTTAAATAAAAATGTTCAGAACACAATACGTTTTGTCCTGTGTACATTCTTCTCCCGAATATATTGCTACATGCAAGCTGAAGCTACTGCGCTTCAATTTGATGTCACTAAGCTACACGAAACTAAGGTGGGCTACGTGTTCTGACAAGTTATCGAAATATTCTACTGTAGCACATATTTACAGGTAAAGTTATACCCATAAATAAAACCTCTAGGTAGGACATTTTGATCTAAATCAGCTTATCAGGGGGTGAGCACTGATATTAAGCTGAGTCTGTGAATTAGCCTGACTGCAGGTGAGTTTGTAGAGCTTTTCAAATCGAGCTATATACAAAACGGAAAGGATCTATCATGTTTCAGTGAGTATCAGATAAAGAACACATAACTGCAGGGAAACCTGCTTCTTTTGTTCTGACTTCTTTTCATCTGCATTCAGTCTGTACATGGAAATACGCTACCACACAGCCAAAGCGTGTTTAAGGAGGTTGCCAGTCTAATGACATCAATTCAGTGCGCAGTAGCTTTAGCTTACATGTAGCAATATTCATATTTCAACTCTTTAACGACCTCATAATTCAAAGGATCCAGTGATGTTCCAGAGAAGAATATTCACAGGACAAAACGTATCAGGTTCTGAACATTTTTAACAATGTGGTATACATCAAATGTTTGAGAAATATATCATTTTACACATCACTCAAATGTGTAATGCATTAATAATTTAAACAAGGGAAAGTCCACTAACATTCAAATATGTTCTTCTGAGAGAGTGGCATATATTCCTCTCAGAGAGTGGCATATACCACATGCGACCAGACTAATGGCATGTTAAACGTCATTTCCTTTCAAGCTAGTCCACTGAATGCTTCTACCCCCTCTCTTAAATGTTTACCAAAAAACCTTCATGATCTTTGAAATAGCGTTTTAAAGGAGTTTGTTTTGCACTGTAAAGTTTTGACTACGCTTTAGGTAGGATGTTAGTATTAAGATATTAAACCCACCAACATGACTGAGGTTGGACAGTGCCCACCATATTTATACTGCCTAATTTTCCTGTGTCATGTAGGTCTGAGAGCACTTTGTTTGGATTTGAGCTAATGGTGGTAAATAGCTAAGCTACGGTTGTGTTTTTTAATAAAGCCCAAACTTTTCTTGATTGCACTTTTTTATAAAAACTGAATGTTGACCACCAACTAATGACTGATGATATATGAAATTTGCATTCCTTGTCTTACATCATTAGAGTGATATGAGTTCATATTTTGTCTACTTAATTTGAATAATTGACAGGTTGTTCAAGTTGTGACTTCTGGTGCATTATGTCTTATCTACTTTTAAAGTGGTTTATTTGGTGGGGGCACAAATTTGTATTTGTACTATAAATAAGTAGAACAAAAAATTTGATAGACATGATATATCCTGTCTGTTCAGCAGCAAAAAAGCTATAAAATAACAAATAACATATCACAAATAAGTGTTTCTCCGCAGAACAGTAGTAGTGCTACTGTTTATTAAAGGTGTTTGTAATAATTCAGGAAAAATCTGTAAAATAATAGTGTTTCTCTGTAGAGCTTTTAGTGCCATTACTTTATTGAAGGTGTTTGATCATGATATTTTAGGAAAAATCTGTAAAATAACAGTTTCTATCTGCATAACTTTTTGTGCTATCACTTTATTGAAGGTTTTTGATCATTTTAGGAAAAACCTGTAAAATAAGTTTTTATTTGCAAAACCTTTATCAATTTTTTTTGTAAATTTATTGTTTTGTACTTTTTTTTGAATTAGGATACTTTACTTTAGTTTTTTTTTGGCTGTTGTTTTTTTTTTTTTCAGTGTAGGCAGCGCATCTTGAGCAAAAAAGATTCCTCAGTATCTACTCAGGTGAATGTTGTCAGTTTTTATGATGCTGCTTAACACTACAAGACCATAGAGGTCATTCTGACCATTTGAATTTTATGTGCTTATTTGTATTGTTGGGAGATGTCATAAGAAATATCTGGATGACTGATTTTAATATCTGAAATTTAAAAAGCATTTATTAACTAATCTATAAGCACTACCTTTTAACAGTAGTTATTGGGATTTATTTTATCAAAAATATGCCATCTCAAAATTTCCAAATAGTCAAAATGACCATCTTGGCCTTTCAAGTGAAAAAGCTAACATGACATTATAAGCCTGTTTTTTGTTTGTGCCTGCTGGAGGAATCACTAAATGATCAAGCTATTGCACTGAGTTTTGATGTTCGACTGGGTTTTGAGGTAACAGTGATTTAATTTTGTACAGTCACTACATTTCTTCCATTTGGTCACACTTTTCTTTCTCTCATTGCACTGTATTTGAACTGGTTCCCTGAGGTTCTGATTTGTTGAATTTTTTTGCGGTTCCTCCATTTCCTCATTTCCATGGAACTCCATTTCCAACTCTCCTTTCATTGTGCAGTTTGAAAGAACAAAAAAACAAAATGCTCAGTGTTCTAGGGCTGTATGAGGCAAATCATCGCCTTGGGCGTAGATGTGAATCATCAATGCATTCCACCTGCTTAGACTACTTTGATTTATGTCCCATACGCAAGTATGGGTTTGAACTCCTGGCTCAGTGACAGCAAAGATTCTCAGCAGTTACTGCCTATAATGATGTATTGGATGTGGAATGTCAAAAAAATCGTCCTGCCTCAATAAATGTCTTAAATGTTAACCGTCTGTTACCCAATGACATTGCATGTATTTTACCTCACTCTCTTAATATTAACCAAGAGCACTCTGTACAATGTTTTTCATGACTATGTAAATGTAGGACTAGTAGATTTTTTATCTTTTTTGTGTTGGCTTTCATTCTGTTCTGTTGGACCAGCACCTGGATTGATTTGCTCTCATTTTAAGGTTTACAGATCACAAAGAAAAAAAACAGCATCTAACAAACCTCGGGTTCTATGCAGATGAGGTACTAGGACATCCCAGGTTTTTTTTTGTCTGATACTTTTTCTATTTCTACTTCACTGTATCTTATTTGCATTCTAAGCACAATGTACGCAGCTTGCATTTTATGGATTTTTGTAGTTGTGCATGTAACATGTATTGGAAGAGCTTTAGGATGTCAAAGACAATGAGACGCAAATTGTGACCCACCACCATAGCCCTGCATTTTGTCATGCATGTTCATTTGACTCTGAAAGAAAATCACATTGCAACTTGATTCATTCATGCAAGTTTCTATTCTACGACATCTGGAACATTCCTCCCAGGTGCTGTTTAGTCTCTTGTCATGTTAAGACTGCATCAGCTCTTCCTGTGCATGCCATCAGGTCTTTGCAACTGATCCAGAATGCAGTATCAAACCATGTCTTCAGTCTTTCTAAGTTCACCTGTGTCACTGCTGCTGTGTCCCCTTCACTGGCTTCGTCAGATCTAAAATCCAGGTGCTTGCCTCAAAAACAAAAATGGACCAGCCCCTCATTATCTGATGGTCAGATGGTTAAAAGTAGATGCATGAATACAAAACGCATGGAATACAAGCATCAAAACTCTTGTTGGACCTGACACTGAGGTGGTGGAATGAACTTCCACTCCCCAAACAGAGTGTCTTTAAACACCAACTGAAGAATGAACATCAGTCTTATCATAATGTCTTACTTCTGTGTTGTGTATTTTTGATCTAGGTATCAGCACTGGTTTTTTTTTGCAGTATCTTGGTTAAAGGGGTACTTTGGAACTAGCTAGGATATATTCTCTACATTCTCTGAGTAAACAACAGTACACTTTTGAAATCGAGCTGAATCAGAGCGTCTGCTGTAAATGTAAATAGAAGACGGAGATTCTGCATTTCCTTATTAAAAAGACCTTTTTTAAAGTTGTGATGATGGATGTATCTTGGTATGTGTCTGCAGTTTCATTTAATGTACTTACACATTCTTTCCCCGAAGCTCAAACATCAGTGTTTTCATGTGGCACCACACTTTTCGGCACTAAAGATGTTCATGCTTGCAGACTGTCTACAGTCTTTCTACAGGTCATTTTAGGTTTTATATCGATTATAGGTACGTCTGATTTGACTTTCTGAAAATAGCTTTTGCTGAACTAGTTGATACACTGGTTTGGTATTAGCACTGATACTGATCTTATTAAAGGGATCAGGTTTCGACCACACATGATTGATACTGTTTCTCAGACACATTTACTCTGAAATGTAAAAGTGATACTCATCAAATTCTCAATTTTTTGTTTCTTAACAGAGCTGAATGCTATACATACAGCTAATAATTATGAATGATCACATAATAGGCAAATGTGTGTTTATGGAGATGAAATGAGAGTTTCTTTGAAATGTGAAACGTGCCATGTGTTCCTCTACAAACAGGGTTGCCCGATTGCTCTAGCCAAAGAGCGTTCAAAACCTGCCAAGATGCATTAAAAACACCTAAAAAATATGCCTCAGTCTAAAAGAATTTTAGAATTTCAGTCTTTTAAACAAATGCATTTATCACTGCTAGTTATTTGATTTTTATGTGTATTTTTGTGTGATCAGTGTATTTTTGTCTTATCAAAGTTTACTTTTTTGTGT